AGGAATGCATCTACTTTGCAGCCACTTTGTGGCCATTTCTTTAACATAAACGTGAACAGCTACCTCATTACTGCTGTCGCTTTTTCCTGAGGCCAAAACCTCTTTCCAAACAGATTAGTCTCTTGTTCCATCTCCCAGCACGCAGAACATATTTCAGTCCCGAGTCAGAGCACTGGCACCGCTCCAGAGTACTCTACTGTGCGTCAGGGATCCCATCCCTTCTGAGCCGCAAGGGCTACAACCCCGCAAGATCTCCCATAAAAGGTCCGGGAATGAAGAATGTCTAGCTACGTGCTCCTTTCTACAGAGACTGCAACCAGTTGGACTTATTAATATGGAAAGAGATAGTATAAAATTCAGTAAACTGTAGGGTAAATTTCACATAGCCCAACACTGATAGCGCTAACAAGTTTTTTGTTTGTGTTTTTCTTTTCTTTTCAACTTCACAGAAACACACTGGTGAATGGGGTAAAACAGTCTTTGAATACAGAACGCGCAAGACAATGAGGTTGCCTGTGGTTGATATTGCACCCATGGATATTGGTGGCCCTGATCAGGAATTTGGTGTGGACGTTGGCCCGGTCTGCTTCTTATAAGTCAAAGATCCTGCTCTTTCTGAAACCCCAGCAAACAGATTCACACTCCAACTGTGCTCCTTTGTTTTAGCCTTGTCAGCTAGTACAGATGACCATCTGTATCCCAGTTATTTATTAACAAAATTTCTGGGGGAAAAAAATCAATTTGATATCAAGGGTTATTTTTTTTCGCTATTACACAAATTACAGTAAAAATGCTTTTTTGCTCTATTTTTTTTACCAAATTTCATCTTCAAAACATGTCTCCGTGGTGCTATAATACAACTTCAACACTTAATAAAACAACACTGTGTTCTATTAGTTGAATGTTAGCCAATTTACAAAGCACTGATTGCTCCCAGTACCAAAGTTTACCCTTCTTTCTAAGATGCAGTCCATAAAGCTAGGAAGACCTCCCTGTTTCAACTACCTCAACATGGACAGAAACTGGGATGTGTCTGATGAGTCAAACCAAAAATCAATCAAACAATTCAATCAAAACACATTGGACCCATTGGTCAATTTGGTGGAATCATTTGGTACAAAATTGTCTATTTCTGTACTGATTAGCTGTGGAAAAGTACAGTGTATTTTAAGAGTTTAATACCTTAATGTCAGTAGTCACCGTAATTTTATTGTTGGATTGTATTCTGTTATCAAAGGTGCTTCTCTACTTTCCTGTCATTGCTGGTCAAGACCACTAAAATTAGGGAAGTGTAAAAGACTAATATGATGGTGCTAATGTATTTTTCACTCCTAACTCTGCAAGTCAGGGTTATTGACTTGCTTGGAGGAAAAAAAAAAAAAAAAAAAAAAGGTAAAGGATTTAAAACAATTGTAATTGTCTCCTGTCAAAGATCGTCATTGGCATGTCATAGTTGAGAACTTTCTCCCTTCACTCTGTAAAAGTCAATAAAGATGCAAAATTGTGAACTTCTTTTGTCACGTTAACACATTTATAGTGTTGAAGGTTAACCATCTTTGTAAGCTTTTATATGGTTGTTGGTCTATTCCTTACAGAGACACATAATAAAATATCTTAATAAAACTCCTTGTTGTTTCATAAAACTGACTTTTTATTATTATTATTATTATTTTGCTATTTGTATCTCTTTCTTCAAACAAATGAATAAGGCACGACACAACCCTGGTACAGTTAAAGTGACTGATTTTCCTAAGATAATTTGTGTGAAGGAAAACTTGGTAATCCTAAGGGATACAGTTTATGGCATCATACCATGAAATTTTCTTTCTTACTTTTTCCACTCCTCTCCATCCACTGGCTCATTTTTCCAAGCGTGGTGAGCTTCTCTGACTATCAGCAAGAATTCAGCTCTGACAGCAAGTGCCCGTGCACCTAGGCAGATCAGTTTGGAGGAAATATAACAGTGTACTCCTCCCTCCCCCAAAAAACCCTGCCTCAGGCTAAATAAATAGACAGTCCCAGGCTACTATCTTTTCAGATGGCAGCTTAAATAAAGGGCCTAAGGGTCTCCTACAGTGCAGGCTAGAGGCACGAGCAGTTTGATGAAGCTGACAATCCAAGCATCTCGATATTTTTATGGCCATTGGAGCCACACAACTAAGTCATTCCCCAGATCTTGGCAAAAATTCAAGGAGACACAATTACCACAGTAGTTTGATGGTGCCTGAGCTTCAGGACAGAAGAAGGAAATTAGCTGCACACCAGAATCCAGGCCGTGAAACCTTTCCCAGCAGTAGATGCTGATAGATGCTACTCAGTCTCTCCCACGAAGGAAGACAAAGAGCCTGCCCCCACATCACTGCCGCACCACCACGTGTTGCTCCACAGCCCAGGATCGTGAAGGACCCTCTAACAAGGTTAGACAACAAAAATTAGAGAGAAAAAAACATTCAGATTCTTAAAGGTTCTCATTGATGATTATGGATCACACATCCTCTGAGAATACTTCCTGGATTGGCCCAAGCAGGAAAACGGGCAGAGAAATGCTGGTTTTTTTTAAGAAACCTCACCAGATTTGGGTCTGAGCCAAGACACTGCCCTGCTCTGACATCACAGAATTTGGACATGCCCACGCAGAACCAAAATAGTGAGGGTCTGGAGAGACCTCAACAGCACAAAGGCAGTATCAGCACAGGCATGACTGTACTTAAGGCAGCATAAAAGAATAGTGCCAGAAATTCATAAAAAAATATTGGCTCTCACAGGAAACCTCCTCATTTTATGGTGAAAATAGCTACTGTTTATGGAAGATGAGAATTACATGTAAGTAGTAATATTCATCTGACATAAATTACATGGTAGGAAGTCTTTTGATTGGAGTTGAAATTTTATGAAAGCAGCTGGTAAGAATGCTGGCTGGTGGAAAAATGCCTTGGAAAAACCTGTTCTTCAGCCCCGTGGCAGAAAAAAATAACCTCTGTAATCTCCAGTACTACAGTGGCTGAGTGAATGGCTGGTAACAATTACCCACCCTTAAAACTGAAGGTTTGGGGGCCTTTTTCTGAAGAAAACATCAAGTCATTGATTAATCATTTCTACTACTGAACCGTGATTACTGGAATGTTTGTAGAATACACAAAGAAATAACCAAGATCACCATAAAATAATTTACTTGATCCAAATACTGTCATTTTTTTTTCAGATGATGGTCACTTATTAAGCCACCAGGATTCCGATACTTGTGTACTTTTATAGAAAGATCTTTGAGATAATAGAACTATGAAACAGATAAGGTTAATAAACAAGAATTAGCTGAGAAAATAAGGCTGGCCTTTGGAAGATTTAGATTCTTTTTTTTTTTTTTTTTGACTGACTGATTTATTGTCAGCCTGCAAAAAATCTCTAGCTTTTATTTAATGTGGGAAATAATATAATTAAAAATCTTACCTGACACTTTCAGACTAGCAGCATCATTACTCACTGTTAGAGAGCAGCACATCAAGTTCATAGACTACAGCACTTCTGGGAATAACGCTCTTTTGCACAGGTAACTAACAGGGGTCTTTCAAGGCTGTATGGAAACACCACCGCCTGCTTTCGCGCTCTAAGATAAGTTGATTTTTAGGCACATGTTCAAGTGCATCTTCCTTTGGCATAGAAATTTAAGGTTGTATCAGAGAAAAGAAAACAAAAATAATACTATAGTCTACGAAGTTGAAAGAGATGCATGAAGTTAAATTAGAAGCATGAAAAAACAAGGAAAAAAGTTGCCCACACTGTAGTAAGACTGATAAATAAATTTCTCATTCTGATCCACAGCTTCTTACTTAGTCATATGTTACACCAGCTGATATTCAGACACTTCACAGCACCACATTACTATGGCTCTTTGGAGAAAACAAGAAATAAAACAAAATACAAAACCCCTGTCCTTAAAGAGTTTCCCAGATCATACCAACAGCTTTAAAATATCACTAATTTAAGTTTTAATATTTCCTTGAAACTTCACCTTTCCAATTAATTGCAGGTTAGCACCTAAAGGTGTAGCTCTTCTGCAGGATACCAGAGCTTTTCTTCTGGTGAACATGGACTCCCTGACTATTGTCTGTGGCATGGGGACTATTTCAAAACCTCCTTTCTACATTCTTTATGGAAATGATATTTTAAAAAAACCCAAAACATGATAACAATCCAGCAAACCTTTCTCGAACAGAAAAACTGCTATCTGATTAGGCCCTAATTTTAAACAATTTTGAACACCTGTGAATCACTCAGACAGCCTTACCTCCCTTTGGGTGAAAGGTAAGGCATTCTCCTTGGGCATCATCTCCAGCAGCTGCGTGGCTCCAGGCACGGCTTTAAAAGCCCCACAAGCCCCCTTTCACATCCCTTGGTGGGTGCGTCGTGGCTCCAGCAAGCTCCCTGCTGGAGGTAACCACCAAGGGACAGCCACCGGCAAGAGATGAGCCAGTCAATGAGCTCAACGTCGCACGTCTGCACCTCAGCGGTAAGTTTGCAGCCAGAACCAGGCCAGGGCAAACAACTGCTTATAATGGGGGTTGTGATGGTTTCTGAATTTGAAAGGCTACCAGGAATTTCTTTGGGAAGCTGGCTAATTATTAACAACTTTACTTGCTACAAAAAAGAAGCTAGACACTTACATAAGCAGCAGTGCAATCTGTAACCCTCGCTTTGTTGTGACATCGGCTAAGTAGTCCTAAGCTTCTATTTGCAGGCAGTAACCTGGAGGAAGAGCTGTCTATGAGAATTTTTAATTCATCTTTTGATCTTCCCAAGACACACACACTGCCATGCTATGGCTGTCCTGATAACTTTAATAGAGAAATTTAATTTCTAGTATTTCTCATTAGCTGCATATTGTTTATGTAAGCTAGAAAATGCGTTATTTTGGAGGATCGGTTATTGTTCATAACAGTAACACAGCTTCATTGTAGTCACCAAATTAGAACACATTTCTAATTACAGATAACATACCCATTTAAACCAAGACTGAAACCCTAACGGTTCTTTGAAAAATCATACCCATTTTTTTTCACCAGGAAAGAAGTCAGGTCTGGCAGGCTCTGATTTTTAAACCAAGTGTCTCTCTTCTGGAAATGTAAGTAATGAGGCATTTGCTGCACAAATCTTAAGCTACAGTAATGTATGAAATATTTTTTATTACGATTTAGCATTTTAATTCAACATGTGCTTGTAATCAGATGTCCTTGATTATGCCTTGTTATGCTCTTAAAGAAAATCTGTAGAAAGCTTGATTCAAAGTACTAGAAGAGACAGATATTTGCAGGAGTTTTTAGGATTTGGGAGATGAAGAGATGCTTTCTGTGTTTCTGCCTACCTGTTTACTGGGAGGAGGTGAGATGTAGTTCACCCTGCACTGAGGAATTTCTCTTCCAGGGTGAATGATGACCACCAGAACAAAATCCTGGTGGTCTTGTCTTCCCACCTGCTCTTCATCCTGCAATAGCTTCATCCTAGAGGATGTCCAGAGGCACTGGAGGTGTTCCAGTTTCAGTGGGGTTTTGTGAATGTTCCAGTCATAACTTACATTTCAGCTTCACTATCTTTGTTATAGTAACTCCAAGGTACCTGAAAAAGTCTCCTCATTCCTCCTCTGCAAAGCAGAGATTAAGATTCCTATCAGGAAATGGCTGAATTGATACCGCAGCAGGCAATGCTTTTGACTTAACTTTTTTTTTTTTTTCCTGTAGAATCACACAGCATGCTCTTTAGAGGGCAGAGGCCCCTAAATTACAATGACGTTTCCTACAATTGTCACAATCTTCTGTCAATGTCGTATTTCTTTGGTGCAGGGAAGATTGCTCCCTACCAAACATGTAAAAATATGAAGTTTCTAGAATTGTAATAATGTTCTTTTGCTATAATTAGCTGGGTTTGTATCTGATTTTTCACTCTGTTGACTAAGGCCAAAAAGCAGTTTTGTGATGCTTTGTCAGATGTGAACTTCCACAGGTTTTTTTTCTGCACAAACATTCCTAAATAAGGCTGCAGTCTTCCCTGGAGGATGGATAGTAATACCTCAGCTGAGGAAGTAATTTTGTGATAGAAATGTTTGATAGTGCAACATTCTTGATATTGAGAACACAAGAGATCATAATGATCATGAAATATTATTTAGAAAAAACTTAAGGCAGAGCTTATAGAAAGATGGCTTCTTACTCTAACAGCAAGGAAATAAAAATGTGTGAGAATTTAGGAGGAGCGGGTGGATGGAGGAAAAAAATGACTCTCCTAGCATCCTGCTCAAACTACAGCCTTGCCTGATACCTTAATACTTTTGCAGACCTTCTCCCAGCAAATGATAAAACATATAATGCTGATAGTACAATAGATATATATTAGCAATCAAGCTCTCTCCCATGTTGTGTGAATCTATGAAGCATTTCAGTTTTAATCTTTGCATCACTCTACTCAGGTCCTCCTGAACACTGTCCAGTCCATTGGCTCTACTACAGCATGTCCTGTTTCTCATCTCTGACATTGTGTCCCTTCTTCTTTGGCTTGTGGAAAAAGCAGGTTTCTTTTACTATTCTTCAAGATATTGCCCAATAATCACCTCACAGGAATGAGCAGCAACTTCACAAGCAAGCTGCTCTTTTGT